CATTCATTTATTTTTTAATTAGTACAATCTTTTTGTGACTTATCTTTTATGTTGCAATGGGCTCAAGAGCAGATGACAAGCGAGCATTTAAAAAATATTATTAAAATTTTTAAATAAAAGAATCACTATTAAAATGTATAATTTTTTAAACTAAATATTTTTAATACACTATGACGACATTTGTTTTAAAACCGGTCACCTTAGATTGGTTGGGCCTGAAATTTTGGAAATATTAATTTAATTAACCCCCAAAGATTAATTTTTCTTTCTTTTACTTTATTTATTTTTAAATAATAGCAGTTATTTACAGGAAGTGTTGATGAAAATATAAAAAAAAATATTAAAAATTTTATTTTGATTTGATAAGTTTTATTCTCACTTCTATGCATGTATCCTCAAATTTAATAGAAAAATCAGAGTCATATAATTTTACTTTAAAGATTATCAAATTGGTTAATTAAAAGTTTTCAAGATAATTTTAAAAATAAATTCAAATTGCGCATGATACAAATAGTGTGACTATATATATTTTTACTCTAAATAATGCCATAAGTTGAAAGAAGATCACATGTCCGTGTTATATAGTTACATGAAGAACTTTTATAATAATTAAAAAATATTTAAGTACAAATAAATATTTATTTGATATGTTTGCATTAAAAATGATTTAGGATGGCATGATTTTACAAAAATTTTATGACTTATACAACATATGAAGGCAAAATAAATTATACATTAGTATTGTATAGTGTTGTGTTAATGAAGAAGTAATTTTGATTAATTAATAAGTTGATTCTTAATTAGAAAAAAATATAATTTAAATTTTGAAATAGGTTAACGTTATATGAATAATAAGATAATATGAGTATACGTTGGCCTGTACGATATATATATATATATACACTAAGAGAAAAGCATATATGATTTAATTTTTAGAATAAATTCGCTTCTCACATTATCTAAACTAACATAGGTATATGTGTAAATGTATAAAAGTAATAAATTAGTACTGCAAATCGTTTTCTGAATTTTATTTATGTTTGACTAAAAAATATTGTTTTATCAATTAAAATATTTTTTTATTTTAGAAAAATTACATTACACAGTATCTAAAGTAATATAGAAATATTATTATTATTATTATTACTTTCAGTAAAAGTTAAAATTTATAAACACAAATTAAAGGAATAAACGTGAAGATTAAGACTTCAATAATAATAATAATAGTGAATTGGCGAAATTCTTTACTTTTCTCACACTTCTCCCTTATTATTATTATTATTATTATTAAACCAAACTGGTAAAAAACTATAAACGAACTCAAACACAGTATAAGGGGCCGAAAATATACAGACCCGTAAAGAGGGTCCAATTCAGCTGAGCCTAACATTGTTAAAATACCAGTGGGCTATGCAAAGAAGTTACCTAAAATGGCCTTTTCTTTTTCTCACACTTTCAGATTTTTACTTTTATGGGACCATCAGTTATTGGCTCCAAATTTAAGAAACTATCGACGCAGACACATTCCATTCTCTAATTCACTTTATGGCTTACACGGTTTCACTCAACTTTATCTAAGTGCCACTCAGAACCTTCCCTAACCCAGAGGCCGTTTGTGTGAAGTTTTGGGTTTGTGGCTTAGATTCTTTAATTTAAAAATAATACAAAACATATTTTAAAAAACTGTATTAGGATCCTTGAATTTTCAAACCTTGGATCATCATCAACAATGAGGCCCAAAATGTCACGAGTCGCAGTTTTGCTGTAAAGAATGAGATCCATTATATCTACGAGGCTTTGTCTCCTAACTTTAGATGGTGAAAGAAGAAAAATATTTAAAAGGTAAGAGAGGAAAAAAATAAATTAATACAAACTCTCTAAATTGAAAGAACTTAAAAATATTTGATTAGGAAAGTTTTGGAGAATTTATAAACTCTCTCCTCTTACTTAAAAACTCAAAAAACATAACATAAGTCTAACATTGTTAAATATGAGTAGAGGAATCCAAATAATATTTGATTGTTAAATAATTTGTTATATTTTAGCAGTTAAATTAATGATTAAGTTTATATTTTATTTTTGGAACCAGAATAATTGATTACTAATTCAGTAGTTTTTTTCTTTATCTTTTTATAATAATTATTAGTTGCTAATCAATTCTTTTTTTTTTAAATGTGTGCCATCAACAAATTTATTTTTTAATTTAAAAATTTTATCTTTTTTAATTTAGTTCTATTATATATAATATAATATAATGTAATATAAAATTTGTTTTTAACAAAATATTTACTATTTTAAAACTAATTAAATTTTAAATAATATATTAATGTGTAATTTTCATTGAAAAATTATTTTAATTTAATAATGTTAATGCAAAATTTTCACTAATTTATTCATAAACTTATAAAGGATTAACACAATAGAAAAGCATGGATGCACCCATTCCACCAAGTAGCATGGTAGAACTAGTCTTTAATTAACCATATAGCATGAGAAAATGAATTCATGTTACCAGGTTCAACTAAGTCATTAGATCTAAGTTAAACATGTTTTCCGTTCTCCTCCAGAACATATAAAATAATCAACCAATTGCATTGTTTGCTAAGCTATAAGATTACACGTACTTTCTTTCACAACAACTCGTTAAATGATAGGCTAGATCTCTCCTTTATTACAAGCTCTGGTCTAAATAAGTCATGCTTATACACTTTCTTCATTTTGTGCAATAAATTGTTAGTTTCAATAATTTAACTCTGATTAGTTTTTGCTAATAAGATGAATAGTAAATAATTGTACTTATAACTACTTTTTATGAAGAAAAAGATAGAAAATATATTTAAAGAGAATGTTTTTTTTATTAAATTATACATTTAATTTATACACTTGACACTTATTTATAAATTAGTTTTTATATTTAAAGGGTTTACAATTTTAATTCTTATACAAGTGTTTATTACATTTTAATTTTTGTTATTAACAATATCATAAATGTAATAAAACACTTGTATTAAGACAAAAATATGAGTTTATTTTAAGTATATAAACTAATTTAATCGGTAATAATATGTTTTGAGTTCAGAGAATTGAAAGGAAAATGAAGAGAGAAAGGTGAGAATACATTTTTTGAACCCTAAACTCCTTCAAATACCTTTCTGGTCGCAAAACGCTCGCTACAGCGAGATATTCTCGCTGTAGTGACGTCTCCTTGTTGCAGCGAGGTCTCCTCGTTGCAGCGACACCCTCTCTCGCTACAACGAAAATTTCAGAGAAAACTGCACTCTGGTTTCTACAAAATCTCACTACAGCGAGATCCTTTTGCTACAGCAAAACTGTAACAAAAAAAATGCACCCCTCTCTGTTGCCTTCTCGCTAGAGCGAGAATGCAATTGTCGCACCTCTTACTCTTAGGACACTTTTACTACAGTGAGAATTCTCTCTTTACAGTGAGAATGTCTCTGCAGCTCATACTTAGTCTATTTTCAGTCCAATTCTAGTTTAACCACAAACCAACACATATGCTCATACTCGTATTCACACATTCATACAAGTTTACATCATCACATATACATTCTCATCACCATCTATATATATCAAACACACAAACACATGAAAATTGATATATACACTTATATTTATATATTAAAATGTAAAAGTCGGGGCATTACAAGGTCTGCACAAGACACAACTTCAAATAGCTACCTATAGTGAAGAAATTATGAATATAATGATAAGTGGATTGAACACTGTATTCTTTATTAATATAACACTTCCACATCAATATGTTATTCACATTTTCTCTCGACCTCTTAGCTTTCATAATCCCCCACAATAGCTATTGTAAATCTTCCTCCTATAAAAACAATTACTTTTTCCAAGAAATTTCTCACACTCATTTGCATATCTCAAAATATCCATTGTTCATTACTTGCGCTCCTTATTAGTTTTTTCTGAAAATAACTTTAGATATGAATTTTCTAATATCAATATTTCTCACCTATTTGTCCTTCTAAAAACGAAAGAACAATCCTTAATAACCTATGTCACATTAGAATCAATCCACCAATCAACTTACAAACCTACACCACTAGTATTGTCCCTATTGATTGACTATAAGAACTGCAGTTTCCCTTTCTTCACATATTATAGAAATAAGCTACATATTTATGGTTCCCATTGATTGACTAGAAGAAGTGCAGTCTCCCTTTCTACAAATTATAGTGCTAAGCTACATCTTCTTTACATTAATTATTCTCTCTCTTGACTTTTTTTATCTATAAACAATTTACACCACCTATAAAACATATGATTTATAAAGAAATTGTGTAACATTGAAAAGGATAAGAATTATATAATAATTTTTATTAAAAATGATAAAATTTAATGTTATTTAATGTATTAACAATATTAAATGTTACATTTTTTTTATAAAATTTTGTTTTATATATTTTTTATTCTATACAATGTCATACATGTTAAGAAAATTATTTAAAAATTAAGCACTATTTAAGGATTTGATTGAGACCAATTTGCAAGTTGTAGGACGACCTTATTATAGGAGTGATGAAGACTAAATTTTCAAGGTCATCATCACCCAATTTGTTAGCGTGGAGTTTCAGCTTGAAACAATAACATGAAAATTGAACCAAATGCTGGGCCATAGATTTTTGTTGTTTCCATTAATGGTCTCAATCAATAATTACATACTAATAATCAAGTGTGAGTCAAGAAATTGTAATTCATACACTGAGCCCCTTTCCATACGCCAGATTTAATTGTTGGAGCAGATTTTCCAATTATGGGACCTTACAATGGCAGAGAGAAAGACCAGCTCCTTCAAATCACAGGTCTAATCGATTTGGTCATTAGCGTAATGTGTTGTTTCTTACGTAGTTGGCTATAAATACGTTCATCCAAATACTTTATAGCATCACCATCTTACTTTCTGTGTTAGAACTTCTAAAGAGCCTTCAAATCTGTTTTGCAAAACTATTTCCATATTTATGGGATGGTTTCTGTTTCTTTTCCAATTGAGTTTCTTGCTTTTCCATTTTCCTTCTCACACTTCTTCATCGGTGCCATTGTGCCACCATGATGAAGCCTCTGCCTTGCTTCAATTCAAAAACTCATTTAGTCTCAATGGCTCTTCCGAGTCTTCCAATCACTGTGCTGCAATTGGCGAGTCTTCATATCCGAAGACAGAATCATGGAAAAATGATACGAATTGCTGCTTGTGGGAAGGGGTGAGTTGTGACACAAAGTCAGGGCATGTGATTGGCATAGAGCTTAGCTGTAGTTGGCTTCAAGGCCATTTTCATCCCAACACCACTCTCTTCCAACTCACTCATCTTCAAACGCTCAACCTTGCTTTCAATTCTTTTTTCAATTCTCCAATGCCTTCTGGATTTGGTAATCTTCTCACTCTTACACATCTAAACGTATCTTCTTCTGGTTTCAGTGGTGTTATTCCCTCTAAAATCTCTCACCTTTCGCACTTAGTCTCACTTGATCTCTCACCCTCATATGGAATGACAATTAGAGAATCAACTTTGGAAAAGCTCATTGTAAATGCAAGCGAGCTAAGGGAGCTCACTCTTGATGACCTGGATATTTCTTCCATTAAACCAAGCTCTCTATCTTTCCTACTGAATTTTTCATCCTCTTTGGTCTCTCTTAGTCTTAGTTCTACTGGGTTGAAAGGGACGTTACCAAACAAAATTCTCTTTTTACCCAATCTTCAAAAGCTTGATCTGTCTTGGAATCATTTTCTCGAAGGTGAACTTCCTAAGTTCAATTGGAGCGCTCCTCTCAGACACTTGGATCTCTCCAACACTGCTTTCTCAGGAAATGTTCCCAGTTCCATTAGTCGTTTGAAGTCTCTTAACTATTTGAATTTTGGGGATTCTATGTTTGAAGGACCCATTCTTCAATTTTTGTCAAATCTCACACAACTAAAACACTTGGACCTTGGTTGGAACAAATTCAGCGGAGAGATTCCTTTATCATTTTCAAATCTTCAAAATCTCACTTACTTGGATCTTTCTAACTCTGACTTCAAGGGACCAATTCCACGAAGTGTGGGGAACCTTACCCAACTAAATTATCTGCACCTTGCAATGAATAATTTTAGTGGTGAGATTCCATCGTTGATTTTCAAATTTCAACATCTTATTTCCTTAGATCTTTCAGGAAATAATTTTGGTGGTGAGGTCCCCAATTTGTTTGGCAAGCTTAACAAATTAGAATATTTATATCTTTCCTCAAATAATCTTGTAGGCACATTGCCATCATCAGTTTTTGGTCTGACTCAGCTTCGTTATTTTATATGTTCAGACAATAAATTATTTGGCCCAATTCCGAACAACATTAGTGGACCTCAAAATATAGAGACTCTAATTTTGTCCAATAACTTACTGAATGGAACAATTCCGCTCTGGTGTTTTTCTTTGCCATCATTGTTTCAGTTATCTCTAAAAGGCAACCAGCTGAGTGGGCCAATCGGTGAATTCTCTTATTTTTCTTTGCCATCGTTGAGTTATTGTGATCTCTCTTGTAACAAGCTACAAGGTAATATCCCAGAGTCGGTGTTTGATCTACCGAATCTATCAGCGTTGCATCTATCATCAAATAACTTGAGTGGCCTTGTAGACTTTTACAAATTTTCGAAGCTCCAGTACCTAGTGCTTCTCGATCTTTCTCACAATAATTTTCTCTCTCTTAATTTTGACACCGGGGGTCACTATAACTTCTCCAACCTCAGAAGACTATATTTATCTTCAAATAATATAAATAGTTTCCCAAAATTCCTCAATGAACTCCAATATCTTGACACTTTAGTCCTATCTAACAACCAAATTCATGGGAGAATTCCAAAATGGTTTAATAATACGGGAAGAGATACATTATATTATTTGGATCTTTCTCATAACCTTCTAACATCCCTTGGGCATCTCTCACTCTCATGGACAATGATACATTACATTGATCTCAGCTTCAACATGTTGGAAGGAGGTATTCCGATTGCCCTATATGGATCTTACTTCTTTTCTGTCTCAAATAACAAATTGACTGGACACATTTCTTCAGCTATTTGCAATGCAACCGTCCCCAGTATACTCAATTTGTCCCATAACAACTTGACAGGCAAGCTTCCACATTGCCTTGGAACCCTTCCTTATCTGTCAGTTTTGGATTTGCGAAAGAACAACCTTTCTGGAATCATACCTAAAACTTATTTTGAGACAGAAGCATTGGAGACTATGAATTTTAATGGCAATCAATTGGAGGGACCATTACCTCGAGACGTGGCCAAATGCAAACAACTACAAGTTCTGGACTTGGGGGAAAATGACATACAAGATACATTTCCTAGTTGGTTAGAGTCCCTTCAAGAGCTACAAGTCCTTGTTTTACGTGGAAATAAGTTTAACGGTACTATTGACTGTTGGAAAGCCAGGAATATCTTTCCTAAGTTGAGGATTTTTGACGTCTCCAACAACAATTTTAGCGGCACCTTGCCAACAACATTCATCAAAAACTTCAAGGGAATGATGATGAATGTCGATGATGGTTTGCACTACATGAAAATGAATTCTACATTCGCTTTTTCATCTAGTTACAACGACTCTGTGGGAGTCAGAATGAAAGGGAACACTTTTGAGCTAGAGAGGATCTTAACTACTTTCACAACTATTGATTTATCAAATAACAAATTTGATGGAGTGATTCCAACCGTCATTGGAGAGTTAAAGTCACTGAAAGGGCTTAACCTTTCTCACAATGGAATCACTGGTTTTATTCCACAGTCCTTTGGCAATTTAGAAAATCTGGAATGGCTAGACCTTTCCTCAAACATGCTCATGGGTGAGATTCCTGAGGCATTGACCAGTCTTACCTTTCTTTCTTACTTGAATCTTTCGCTAAACCACCTGGAAGGGATGATACCAACAGGTAAACAGTTCGACACATTTCAGAATGAATCCTATCAGGGAAATCCAGGGCTTTGTGGGTTGCCTTTGTCAAAGTCATGCCACAAACAAGAAGAACAACCAGGTGATTCATCAAGCTTCAGCCATGAAGAGTTGTTTGGATTTGGTTGGAAAGTCGTAGCAGTAGGATATGCGTGTGGAATGGTATTTGGAATACTCTTGGGATGCATTGTATTTTTAATTGGTAAACCACAGTGGATAATCAAGCTTGTTGAAGATGTTTCTAATCGAAGAGTGAGAAGGAAGAGCTGCAGATCTATTGCAAATAGAAGGGGATAGTTTTATGGTCCTTGCAGGATATGAGATTTGGTTCAATCTTGATCCTTAATCTGGTATTTGTCTCACTCTTGCAGACAGAGGTTAATTATTCATTGCCTTTTTGTGATTTGGGTTTAATGCTGTCACGTGGAAGACAAGAATGTGTTATTCTGCTGGAGTGCCTCCTTTCCCGACTGTTGTCAGAAGATTTTTCGGTAAAGTTTTTCCATGCTTTACATGCTTCAAATTCCCGATGAAATTTTTCTCAAACGTAATTGTCTGTCAACAGCTGATTTGGTTGTTCATTTGTTTATTAGGTAAAAGTAAACCTTGTAGCACAGTCCACTCATACTCGCCGAATGGACACAAATTTCGATTATTGTTTACTATTGACCAGTTGTGTCATGTTAAGTTTTCCTATGTAATATATTGACGGGTTTATGGTAATGTAGTTAGGCTTCTGTGAGAGGATGCCCAGGGTTGGAAAGAGAGCATAAAATTTTGAGAATTGCTGAAGAAGCTAGCTGGTGTCTCTTTTAGCTTTTGTAGCTCATAGAAGGTATTTTAGTTTCCTTTCTTTTGCTGATCACCCTTATTAATGTTTTTGGTATTTTACACTTTTCATTGGAGTCTTAAACTTGCTTTACAATGCTGATGTGTAATTAGTTGACTTCCATGGATGTGAAGATTTAGTGGAATGTCGTTCACTAATTGTGTTATAACCAAATGAAAAGTTGTAATATGTAATTTAATAGTAGACTTGGATTTCTTACTAATGAATTGCCTTGGTATGATCGGAGCGTCAAAGACTTGCCTGTATAGCACAACTTTCATTATGTCAAGACTATTATTTGAGTCAGTGAGCTGCTTCTGTACATTCCAGATTATCATCATTCATTGAGATGAGTGCAGAGAAGCTGATTTAATATGTAATATGATTTTGTAAATATTGCAACCAAGTAGTTGCATGCCCATAATTTACGGTATCAGCCAAACACTTGTAAAGAGGAAAGAATGCTCGAGTATGGATCGTGTCTCAAAAAGAACCATACCATCCAAAGGTTTCCCATCAATTGCCACAACTTAGTGCGTACACTTTTATTTTAACCATCTTTATATATGTAGATCCTAGTTTCTTTAATATATTTTATTTGTTCAAATTGACTAAAGTATTTATGTACATGAGCCATGTATCTGCAGGTTGGAGCATGACATTGGGATTTCCTACACAGGGACAAACCAATATGTCTTATCTCTCCTGTAACGACAAAACCATACCAAATTTAAGAGGATTGATCAATTTCATGTGCCAAATAAAGTCTTCTAACTTCTCTTATCATTTAATATTTAATGCATGGTAGGAGTAGTACTGAAGTATTTAGGCACAAGGAAGTTCATATTGCTAGAAAGGAAGAAAGAAACAATCATGCCAGCATAGCGGGGCAAAAATTGTTAGGAATGAAGTCCCACATCGGTGGGAACTTCAAGTGGGGGCCCTCCTTTACTTATATAAAGGGTAAGGGTCCATCAAATTAAAATCATCCCAAAATTTCTTCTCTCCCTCTCTCGTATCACACTAATCATATATATTTAGTAGTGGTGGTTCTTTATTTTGAGGGATAAATTTTAATAGAGAAGAGTAGTATAATTTTTATTCTGTGATAATTTTCTGTTGCTTTTATTATCTCTCTTTCAGCTCTTATTTTTCTCATCTCTTATTTTAGTTGTGTGTTATTATACCGTTACTCTGGTCCTAACAGTGGTATCAGAGCCTGGTTTAGTTTATTCCGCTGCTATTGTCATTAGAATAGTGTTGGTAAAATTTTGAGTATGCTCAATGATTGCGGTTTAATCTGATCTTTCACATAAAAAAAAGAGTTGTTATGGAAAAGTTTGGTAGTGTGAAACTGCTATCTGAGAAAGTTCTGGCTAGGAAAGATTTGGTATTTAAGAATGTCTATAGTGACCCACCTCTCTTTCTTGGAAATTTTTTGGTGTGTTAGTTCATGGTCTACCTGTGTTATTCCAGTAGACAATACTATTCATAGTGAGAAGTGCATAAGTTGGTATAATAAAGAGAGAAAATATGGCAGCAAAATATGAGATAGAGAAATTTAATGGGAGTAATTTCTCCTTGTGGAAATTGAAGATAAGAGCAACTTTGAGAAAAGACAATTGTCTTGATGCAATTGAAGGCAGACCTGCAGATATTTCAGAAGAAAAATGGAGAGAAATGGATAATAATGCTGTTGCCAATTTGCACTTAGCATTGGCAGATTCAGTGTTATCTAGTGTTGCAGAGAAGAAGACTGCAAAGAAGATTTGGGACACACTGATCAAATTGTACGAGATCAAGTCACTTCACACCAAAATATTCTTAAAAAGGAAACTCTACACTCTTCGAATGAGTGAGTCCACACCTGTGACGGACCACATCAACAATCTGAATATGCTGTTTGCTCAACTTACAGCTTCAGATTTCAACATTGTAGAAAATGAACGTGCAAAACTTCTACTCCAGAGCTTGCCAGATTCATATGATCAACTCATCATCAATATTACAAACAACAACATCATTGGTCATCTATCCTTTGATGATGTTGCCGGAGCAGTTCTTGAAGAAGAATCCAGGGGAAAGAATCAGGAAGACAGACTGGAAAGTTGTAAACAAGTAGAAGCTTTGACGATGATGAGAGGGAGATCAATGGAGTGTGGTTCCAGTGGGAGCCAAAATCATGGTAGATCAAAATCTCAGAGAAGGAAGAACCTCAAATGCTACAACTGTGGCAAGAGAGGGCACGTAAAGAAAGATTGTTGGAGCAGGAAGAGTGAAGGAAGGAAGAATATGGAAGCATCAACCTCACAAGGTTGTGTTGCTAGTACCTCAGATGATGGTGAAATTCTATACAGTGAAGTAGTAAATTCTAGAGGCAGAAGACAACTCCATGAATGTTGGATATTGGATTCAGGTGCAACTTGGCACATGACTCCATGCCGAGATTGGTTTTCTACTTATGAACCTATCTCAGGAGGATCTGTATTCATGGGAAATGATCATGCCCTAGAAATTGCTGGAATTGGTACTGTCAAATTGAAAATGTATGATGGTACCATTCGAACAATTCAAGGGGTACGACATGTGAAGGGTTTGAAAAAGAATCTATTGTCCATTGGGCAATTGGATGACCTCAAGTGCAAGATCCACATTGAAGGTGGGATCATGAAGGTAGTTAAAGGCAATTTGGTAGTGATGAAAGTAGAAAAGATCACAACCAATTTATACATGCTTTTGGGAGATATGTTGCAAGAAGTAGATGCATCAGTTGCAACAAGTCAAGAAGATGAAACACTGATGTGGCATCGTAGACTCGGTCATATGTCAGAACGAGGTCTGAAAATTCTTACGGAACGTAATCTCTTACCAGGGCTCAAAACGGTAACCTTACCATTTTGTGAACACTGTGTGACAAGTAAGCAGCATAGATTGAAGTTTGCCAAAGTGACTACAAGAAGCAAACACATACTGGACTTGATTCATTCTGATGTATGGGAATCACCGGAAGTATCCATTGGTGGAGCAAAATATTTTGTATCATTTATTGATGATTACTCCAGGAGATTGTGGGTGTACCCAATCAAGAAGAAGTCAGATGTGTTTCCAGTATTCAAGGAGTTCAAAGCACAAATAGAACTTGAAACTGGGAAAAGAATTAAGTACTTAAGGACAGACAATGGAGGAGAATATGTAGATGGTGATTTTCTGGCATTTTGCAAGCAAGAGGGTATTTCAAGGTAATTCACAGTACCTTATACACCTCAGCAGAATGGTGTAGCAGAGCGGATGAACAAAACTCTTCTAGAAAGAACAAGAGCTATGCTAAGAACAGCAGGAGTGGCTAAATCTTTCTGGGCAGAAGCAGTGAAAACTGCCTGTTATGTAATAAACCGATCACTATCAACAACAATTGGTTTGAAGACACCAATGGAGATATGGAATGGAAAGCCACCTAATTATTCTTCATTACATGTGTTTGGATGTCCTGTGTAGGTGATGTACAATTCCCAAGAAAGAACAAAACTGGATCCAAAATCAAGGAAATGTATATTCTTGGGTTATGCTGATAATGTTAAGGGGTATCGTTTGTGGGATCCCATTGCCTGCAAAGTAGTTGTTAGCAGAGATGTAGTATTTGTAGAAAATGAGCTGCAGAAGGAGGAGAAAAATGACAGTACTGTTAAAGACACTACTTCAGTAGTGATAGAAAGGAAATATAATGATAATGACACCTCTGAAGCAGAACAAGAACATGAAGAACAAGAATGAAATGATGCCAATAATGGAGAATCTCAACAAATAAGACGTGAGATAAGAAGACCATCTTGGCACTCAGACTATGTTATGGCAAGTAATGATGCATATTGCCTTCTAACAGAAGAAGGAGAACCATCAACCTTTCATGAGGCTTTGAGGAGTTCAGATGCTTCTTTATGGATGATAGCAATGTAGGAAGAAATTGAGGCCTTACATAGAAACAATACATAGGAACTTGTTGAGCTTCCAAAAGGTCGAAAAGCTATTGGTTGTAAATGGGTTTACAAAATCAAACGAGATGGCAATGATCAAGTGGAGCGGTATCGTGCCAGATTGGTGGTTAAAGGATATGCTCAGAAAGAAGGCATTGATTTCAATGAGATATTCTCGCCAGTTGTCCGATTAACCACAATCAGAATTGTTCTGGCAATGTGTGCTGCATTTGATTTACATCTTGAGCAACTTGATGTAAAGACTGCTTTTCTACATGGAGAACTTGAAGAGGAAATATATATGCTCCAACCAGAAGGTTTTGAAGAACAAGGAAAGGAAGACTTGGTTTGCAGGTTGACCAAATCTCTGTACGGTTTAAAACAGGCGCCAAGGTGTTGGTACAAGAGATTTGATTCCTTCATTATTAGCCTCAGATACAACAGACTGAGTTCAGACTATTGTACGTATTACAAGAGGTTTGGTGATAATGATTTCA